TATATATATATATATTGTATAAAACAATATGAAATATGCATATAGTTATATAGAAATCTTGCATAAAGTTACTTACCAAATTATTATTTTTTGCATAGAGTTTATGTTGGTTTCGGAAAATCTAATATAACTATAACAACATTGAATATTACTTTCTTTCAAATTTAATACATTTATGTTTGTGGGTTTGTTCAAATCATCTTTTCGGAAAAATATTATTTATACTAAATAAGGTATAAGTTGAGTAATTTTAGAGATAAAAAAATAAGACAAGTATTATTATATATATTAGTCAATTTCACTAAATTGGTTGACGTTATGTGTGAAATTATATACTTTGCAATATACTGCTAATTAGGAAAATGGCATATATAATTATTTCCTTTAATTATTCTAGTTTGCCAACTTAATTAATAAAACTAGTCTGGTACATACGTACTCTACTAATGCAAATTTTCAATCTTAGCCCACACGAAATTCAAATGATTAATGCTATAAATTGAGGCAAAATGTTTCATTAGTTTTTCTCATCCTTCTTACAATTATATTATTAATTCAATTAGTATTAATAGTTAACTATATAGTTTCAAAATGGGATCGAAGGCATTTTTGTTAATTGTTTTGGCTATTTTTCTTGTGATAAACTCAGAGGTTGCAGCTAGGAAGTTGGCTCAGAGCTCCATCACTTCCCTCGAAAAGGGTACGCTCCCTCACTTGTATTTTATGTAAAGATGTTACTGTTTAAAAAGTCAAATTATTTAAAAAATTGTTATATATAGCTTTAATAACGAATTATTTCCTATAGTTTGGTTTGTTATTACAAAAATTATAAGAATTGGAGGTGGACATTAACATGCATATGTATGATTACTTTTGTAGAACAAACAAATGAAGAAAACTATAATGCCAAATTTCTAGGAGTAGCGCTTCCACCAATAGGAGGAGTACTTTCAGAAATTGGAGCACCTATTGGAATTGAAGGACATATCGATACCAGAGGAATGTTTGATAACAAAGGGCTTTCAGAAATTGGAGCACCTATCGGATTCGAATATGAATTAGTCGAGCCATAAACGAATATTGAACCCAAGATAGAAAAATAAAAAATAATATGAATAAATATATCATAAATCTCCATTCATTTATTATGGATGTGTGGATGGTTATCATGTCTCTTTTTATAATAAATAATCTCAGAGGGATTAGGGATTATTTGATAGGATGTATACGAATAACGTTGAATAGGGCAATGCTTGCATTAATAATGTTGGTATAGTTATGTAACAGTTATTTCTTGTGCATTGTTTAAGTTGATGTATTAAAAATAACATGCACTACATAGTTTTAATTTTATTTATTTATTTGCAAAATTACGCTCCATACTGATGCATTTATTAAAGTCTCTTACATTTCTAATACCATGAATTTTAATAAATTATTTGATCATAAAAAACGAACAACTTGAATCGAATTCACATTAAACGATAGTGAGGGTGTTATTAACTCTAGTACTGAAGAATTGGGCCTGGAGAGGTTCATGAAGTATTTGGGCTAAAACAATTAAAGATATATATATACTCTAAATATAGTGTGATACTATCTGGATTTTTCTCTAAGAGAATCAAAATACGAAAAAATATATAAACACAGGAAAAAAGAGATTAAGTATAGGATTCATACAAGTGGTCAAACCAGTGCATCATTCAATTGTTTTTAAAAAAAAATAAATTATACGTGCCTTCATATAATATTTGATATATTGTAAGAATTATACTTATTGTATATCGAGTTTAGTCCTTTAATCACGAGTTCGCATAATCTCTTTCTTACACATAAATTAGCCATTGGAGATAAAGTCTTCGTATATAATATATATACTTCATCCTTTTTAGACCCGACTTATAAAACTATATTGTTGTTATTGCTATTATTATTTTGGTGCAACTGGAAATTGGTAAATTGTAGAAAAAAATAAAAAAATTAATGATAAGATACTAGCCCTCAATATAATTTTCATTAATATTTGTTAACCTTATGAAACATTAGCTCAAAAATTCATACTACCAAATAAAATGAAGAATTATCAACCGAATTAAAAATTGAAATTTTGTGAAATCAATATACTAAAGTATGTGTCTTATAATGACTTTAAATGCTGAATTCTTTAATATTATCTACGCATCACACTGATTCAATTTCATATTAGTAAAATTTTATACTTAACATTTTTAGATATCGCTTAACTCAAGACTCTAGGTAGGTTAGAATATCTTGAAGAAAGATATCAGTATATCAAGATAGTAAATGCAAACAGCATGATCTATGATCAACTCTCAGCCATATCTACGTGTACCTTGCATAGCTAAAGAAAAAAAAAATTCTCTATCCGTTTTAATTAATTAATTAATTTAATTTTGATATGGCATAAATTTAAGAAAATAAAGAAAATTCATAAATCTTGTGGTCTTAAATTATATATTCGTAGAATATGTTAAAATGTCTTTTAATCTTCCAAAAGAGACATTCTTTTTTTTAAAAAAAAAAAGCGAACCAAAAGGAAAAATAAGACAACCTAATTGAAACGATTTTTTTTTTAAGAGTCCATATTCAGATTCATATCCTAAATTAAGTATTTTGATTCTTGCACTCCGAGAGTAGATTTTTTTTTAAGAATAGTTTATAAGAAAACAAATGGAGAAATCAAAATTTGGCAAGAGCTAGGGTACGACTTTGTGCTTAGCTCATCTTAACTCAATTCATCTCACTTCAAATAAAATTCTAAATATTGATCTATGTATTGATTCAACTCATTTTAATTCGCACAAAGTCAACATATACAATCCATTAGCCACCGAACCACCCCTATTAACACGAATATCTATGATTATCGGAATGTTTCTTTCTCCCTTTTAATTTATTTATTTGATTTTGATGTGACACAGAATTTAAGAAAAAAAAATAATAAATCATGAATCTTGTGGTTTTAAAAAACAAATATACATAAAATGTATTAAAATGTTCTTTAATCAACCATATATTTTGTTCTAAACAAACTAAATGATAAAATATGACAAACAAATTGAAATGAAAAAAGTATAATATAGTTAATTATTTAGGAGAAATCATTTTGTAGGTGCTTTTTGGAAAAGTCGAGTCTAAATAATCTATCAATCTTGCCAACTTAATTAATTACTAGCCCGGTACTTAATTAATGCAATGTTCAAACTTAACCCCCAAGAAGTTTATGATTATGCTATAAATAGAGGCAAAATGTTCATTAGTTTCCTCATCCTTCTTACAATTATCACAAAATCAATTAGTAGTTATATCTTAATTACAATATAGTTTCAAACAAGGGAAAAATGGGATCAAAGGCATTTATGCTTATTGTTTTGGCTATTTTTCTTGTGATAACCTCTGAGGTTGCAGCTAGGGAGTTGGCTCAACGATCCACCACTTCTTTGGATAACGGTATATTATCTCTGTTTCATTAACCCTATAAATATAGTCATTTTTGTAAGTTGCTCTTCATTTTATGTAAAGGTCTTACTGTTTGAAGAGTTAGATCATTTTTTCTTTGATAGTGATTTTTTCAAAGTACTCCTTTTGAATTTTAAGCTAATTAAGGTGACTTGTAGTACTTGTTTTGTTATTTTCAAATATATAAATTTTATTTTTAACAAAATGGAAGAGTCTATACTCAGATTCATATCCTAAATTAAGTATTTTGATTCTTGAACTTCGAGTGTATTAAGCTATAATAAAGAACCATTTTAAATAGTTTTGTTTGGTACTTACAAAAATTATAAGAAAACAAACAAAGAAATCAAAATTTGGCTAGCGTTAGAGTATGACTCTATGTTTAGATCATCTTAATTACTTAATCAATCTCAATCTAAATTAAAATTTTGAATATTAATTAATTTATTGATCCAATTCATTTTGATTTGTACAAATTCATCATATAAACAATCTATTTGTCACCCCTACTAACACAAATATGTATGATTATTGATGCAGAACATGCAAATGACGCCAAACTTCTAGGAATAGGATTTCAAGGATATTTAGGAGATGGAATAGGAGGACTTCCTGGTGCTCGAATAGGAGGACTTCCAGGAATGGGAGGACTTCCAGGATTAGGAGGACTTCCAGGAATGGGAGGACTTCCAGGAATGGGAGGACTTCCAGGAATGGGAGGACTTCCAGGAATGGGAGGACTTCCAGGAATGGGAGGACTTCCAGGAATGGGAGGACTTCCAGGAATGGGAGGACTTCCAGGAATGGGAGGACTTCCAGGAATGGGAGGACTTCCAGGAATGGGAGGACTTCCAGGAATGGGAGGACTTCCAGGAATGGGAGGACTTCCAGGAATGGGAGGACTTCCAGGAATGGGAGGACTTCCAGGATTAGGAGGACTTCCAGGAATGGGAGGACTTCGTCCAGGAATAGGAGGAGTCGGATTTCCATGGGGAGGATATGGTGGATATGGTGGTGGTGGATATTATGGCGGTTATCCAAGAGGAGGATATGGTGGATTTTATCCTGGTGTTGGTTATGGCGGAGGAGGATATCCTAGAGGTGGTTGGTATGGAGGATTGCCTCGCAACTAATTAATTAATTACATACTATATAAGGAATATTTATGAATACCCTTCTAATGTATCAGTTATTGTATTCACGATAAATATTGAGTAGCCAAGTGCTATTCATATATATATTTGTATTGTGTGTTTAAGTAATAGGTAGTATAGTTTTGTTGTTGAAAATATGAATAAATAATAGTATCATAAATCTCCATTCACTTACTATGGATGGATGGTCATGATCATGTAATGTTTCTTTAAATAATAAATAATTATTAGAGAATTTAATTTCTTTACGTCCCTTTTCGTCTACATATTATTATTCAAATGATCCAAATAGTTTAAGTGAAATCCTAGTGAAGTTATATTTTTTTGTTGTATTTGTTGACTATGATTCGCTTTACGTAACACTATATTATTGTTGAGTTTTAGTTATATACTAACCATGCATATACATTTTAAGATTTTTATTTATTTCTATTTCTATTTTAATGTACGATACTTATTTTAGGACTTGATAAAAATTAGATGTTTGAACCAAGAAATTTATCGAATAATTTTAAAGGAACTGAATAACCTGATCTACAAGTGAGTTGCTTATGAAAACGTCTTGTTACTGTTGGTATGACATAGTAACAGATTTAGAATTTAAAGTATATATATAATTATATACATTGGGACAATATATCAAATTTTCTTAGATTTGTTTCGATTTTTCCATTATTATTTTTAAAAAAAAAATCAAAGGTTCCCTCAAAGGGGCTCAATAGATAAGTCAAAGGAGCATGGAGGGGGGTGAAACTTGACCTCCGCATTACAAAACTAGGAGTGAGGGCAAATCCTTACTCTCTAACTTATCAAAATAAAAGGAAAGAAAAAAGGAGGGTTGCACTTCACATAAGCTTACAAAAAATTCTAGAATTCATAAACTAGAAGCAACCAAATAAAATTTAACCAGGGTCGAATATGAAGTTGCCCTTCTTCACTCGAATTATAATGTTGGGCTTGCCAACTACATCATTCTTCAAGGTGGAAGTAACCTTAGAAGGAAGATTTATGGCCTTGGTGAAGAAGGTAGTTGTTTTGCAATGTTCAACCATATTCGCAAGCAAATAGCTGTAGTGTTACCTTCTCTGAAGGTGTGAATGAAAGAGAAGTCACCAAGTGAACTCATGGATTGAATCTGTTAATATCATTTTTCATCTGCCAAGGGGGATTATATTGATCATACCTTTAACCATCTGAATAATCAAGAGGGAGTCAGACTCAACAGTAACTCTGTGAAAACCATGATCTAGACACCATGCATCTTAGGCCAGTCTTTAGAGCTAGAGCCTCAGCTGAATTATTTAAGCAAAAACCAAAATAGGCACTGAAAGCCATAATCATTTGTCCAGCATGGTCCCTAAGAACTCCTCCACCTCCAGCACTTCCAGAATTTCCTTTACTACAACCATCCACATTCAGTTTTAGCTCATTCTAGTTTGGTCTCTTCCATTTCACCAATTTAAATTCAAGCTTTGGTGTGATGTGATCTGTGAGATGAGAGATACTGATAATAGAAGGTGAGAGTGGAAGTTCTGGAAATTGAGAATTAATAATCAAATAGAGGAGGTTGGAGATTTGATCAATGATTCTAGGAATAGGAATTCTAACACCTTCATGTTTGAAATTGCACTCGAATGGGCCTTGCAGAGCGTGATCCGAATTTAATCGAAGCTTTAATGTGAGCTCCGAACACCGGGTGGGAGATTAAAAAAAATAAAAAATGTGTTGAAGAAAAGTACTAAATGAAAACAAATAGTGATGGTCCCAAGAAGATCAAGGCAACATCTCTCAAATAACTCCAAAGTAAATGAATATCCTGATCTACAAGTGGACTGCTTAAGAAAAATCACCATGTATTTGGGATCTCGCTCACTTCACTCCTTCTCTCGTTTGTAGAAAAATCACCATATATCTGGAATCCCACTCACCTCACTCCTTCTCTCGTTTGTCTCATTTGTAGTAGCGGATACATAATTGTTATCAAGGGTGTCAATGATTATAGTAAAAAATATAATTATTGGGTCTTGTTATGTTATACATGTGGAATTATTTTGTGTGGTGTTAGTGACACGTTGAAAATTTATTATTGGTATATAAAAACTAATTCTTGCTATAACAGTTATCATCTATAAATATTTTTGATAAATAATCAATAGTTCGTTTGAAAACGATTTATTATGTTATTATATGTTTTTTGTAACAATATTTCATTATAGTTGTAAAAAGTATTTGGACAAATGACATTTATCAGTTTAGCTTCATTTACCAACGATTCCAGCACAATTTAGAAAATCATGAAGATGCACTTATAATCTCTTTCCTTCTCATTTTAAAGTAGCTTGTAATTCGTCCCAAAGATATGTCTTGCTTTCCATTTTTTCAAAAGTCAAGTTAATTAATCTATGAAATCAAATTTTATCAAATTAACTTAATATAATAAAATTAAAAGAGTTCGAGAAGTGAAAAACAATATATAATTAGTGATTGAGGAGTAGTTTAATAATAAGTTGTGAAATAAGAAGAAACATACTTTCCTCATCAACAACATATTCAATATAATCAAGAAAAAGAAGAAATGTACATTATAGAAATATATTGTGTTATATTTTACAACAAAATATTACATGATCAACCATACATATGAACTGAATGACGTTTTATTCATACGATTTTTAAAGCAAGGTTTAGAGTAGCAAGACTATTACTATATTATACATCTTGCCACTACATACAACAGTTTTATAATATTACATGATGGTTTGTTGTGAGATAGTTGACTAGTTACTTACTCATGGCCACCAATGAGAGGGTTGTATCCACCACTTGGAGGTTTGTATTCGTCATTAGGGGACTTATATTTATCATGTGGGGAACTATGCTTGTCACCTGGAGATTTATATTCATCACTAGGGGGTTTATATTTGTCATGTGGGGGGTTATATTTGTCACCCGGAGGTTTGTATTCATCACTAGGAGATTTATATTTGTCATTTGGAGGGTTATACTTACTACCTGGAGGTTTGTATTTGTCACTAGGGGGTTTGTATTTGTCATGTGGGGGGTTATATTTGTCACTTGGAGATTTGTATTCGTCACCAGGGGTTTTATACTTGTCACCTGGAGGTTTGTATTCGTCACTAGGGGGTTTGTATTTGTCATGTGGGGGGTTATATTTGTCACTTGGAGATTTGTATTCGTCACCAGGGGTTTTATACTTGTCACCTGGAGGTTTGTATTCGTCACTAGGGGGTTTGTATTTGTCATGTGGGGGGTTATATTTGTCACTTGGAGATTTGTATTCGTCACCAGGGGTTTTATACTTGTCACCTGGAGGTTTGTATTCGTCACTAGGGGGTTTGTATTTGTCATGTGGGGGGTTATATTTGTCACTTGGAGATTTGTATTCGTCACCAGGGGTTTTATACTTGTCACCTGGAGGTTTGTATTCGTCACTAGGGGGTTTGTATTTGTCATGTGGGGGGTTATATTTGTCACTTGGAGATTTGTATTCGTCACCAGGGGTTTTATACTTGTCACCTGGAGGTTTGTATTCGTCACTAGGGGGTTTGTATTTGTCATGTGGGGGGTTATATTTGTCACTTGGAGATTTGTATTCGTCACCAGGGGTTTTATACTTGTCACCTGGAGGTTTGTATTCGTCACTAGGGGGTTTGTATTTGTCATGTGGGGGGTTATATTTGTCACTTGGAGATTTGTATTCGTCACCAGGGGTTTTATACTTGTCACCTGGAGGTTTGTATTCGTCACTAGGGGGTTTGTATTTGTCATGTGGGGGTTTATATTTGTCACCTGGAACTTTGTATTCATCACTAGGGGGTTTATATTTATCATGTGGGGGGTTATATTTGTCACCTGGAGGTTCGTATTCATCACTAGGAGGTTTATATTTGTCATGTTGGGGGTTATACTTGTCACCTGGAGGTTTGTATTCGTCACTAGGGGGTTTGTATATGTCATGTGGGGGTTTATATTTGTCACCTGGAGGTTTGTATTCGTCACTAGGGGGTTTATATTTATCATGTGGGGGGTTATATTCGTCACTAGGAGGTTTGTATTCATCACTAGGAGGTTTATATTTGTCATGTGGGGGGTTATACTTGTCACCTGGAGGTTTGTATTCGTCACTAGGGGGTTTGTATTTGTCATGTGGGGGTTTATATTTATCACCTGGAGGTTTGTATTCGTCGCTAGGAGGTTTATATTTGTCACCTGGAGGTTTGTATTCATCACTAGGAGGTTTATATTTGTCATGTGGGGGGTTATACTTGTCACCTGGAGGTTTGTATTCGTCACTAGGGGGTTTGTATTTGTCATGTGAGGGTTTATATTTATCACCTGGAGGTTTGTATTCGCTACTAGGGGGTTTATATTTATCATGTGGGGGGTTATATTTGTCACTTGGAGGTTTGTATTCATAACTAGGAGGTTTATATTTATCATGTGGAGGATTATATTTGCCACGTGGAGGTTTGTATTCATCACTAGGGGGTTTATATTTATCATGTGGGGGATTGTATTCGCCACTTGGAGGATTGTATCCGTCATGTGGAGGTTTATTTCCACCATCTCGAGGCTTATATCCACTATTATATTCGTCATGTCCATCACTAGAATACCCGCCAATGCCATTATATCCGTCATGGTGTTCATCATTCTTGTTATCCAATTTCACTGCTACAAATATCAAATGTGAAATTTAAAAATTAGCATAGCATTGCATATATGTCAAATAATTATATAAGAGATCCAATATTTCAAAAGAGATAACTAATAAAAGAAAAATAATAATAAACTTACAGGTGTCTGAGCTTATCATTGCAAAAATAGCCAAAAGAATGCCAAGAAATAGAATTGTCTTGGAACCCATCATTTTTTTCTTCCTTTAAAGCTTAGTTATATGAATTAAAGGATGAAGAAATTGAAGCAACATTGGGTTATATTTATACTAAGAATTTAATGTTTTAGAAATTGATAAATGGTTACTTATCACTTATCTTGCTCAATTGGCACGCCACGTAATTAATTATATTTCCTCTATTTTAATTTATTTGATTTTTTTTATATTCGTTTAAGAAAGGAACGTAGTATAGGACCACAATGTTTACTTGCATTTGTAGTGTCCACTAAATAAAACAATTTTTTATTTATAGTTAAAATATAAAATAAGCATATATTGTTTAATTATAATTAAAAAAAAATATTTTAATAAACACATATTTTATCTTGTGATGGGAGTGAATCTCAAACAAAAGATGAAATGTTTTTGTTAAATATAATTTTAATACTTAACTAAAATCTTTGAGAGTAATAAATAACTAAAAATTATTATTATATTTATCATAATGCAAATTTGTACATGTTTTTTACGTAATTTGTTTTTCTTAAACTCTCTTTTTTTTGGGAAAATTTGAATAAACACAAACTACTTCTCCATTACTAATAAAAAAAAGTTTCTTAAATCTTACTTAAACACAAATTGTTATAAGTTATAACCATTCAAAGAACTTTTCAAAAACACGTTGGAAAAATTAAAATACCTAAATTTAAAAGTTTTCCCAAATAGGTTTTAATTACTCACAAAATCTTTATTGCTTTAGTTTTCTACTTCATATATTTGAAGTATTGCTATCAATTTTTGTGGTAGGTGATCGATAAGTACCTTCTATCTTTAATTATATTTTTTTAAATTCAAAATTTGAGATCAAATTTTGATAGAGAACACTTTACCCCTAAAGTGAAACATTCATGTTAGAGGTAAAAGTAGAGTTGGGACATCGAATTTATCTGAACTTAATCTTTTGATGTGAAGCATAAATTTTATAGATAAAAATTTATTCAAATAGCAACAAATGATATATCTGAATTCATAACTTTAAAATTACAAGTAGTTCAATGCTAGAAACCTTAACCGTTAAAGTACTCATAAAGTTTAAATCTATTTTTTTGAGTTAATTTGAATAAATCCACATTAATGGTGAATCATTTACTTAAATTAGTTCATAGAACACATCAAAATGACTAAGTCGCTAAAAACATAGATCTACTGTAATTATCAAACGACATTAAAGGCTCGTTTGGATATACTATACATAATCATAAGTTCTCGAAGTTTTTTGTATGAACATGCACTTTGAATTTTTTAAATTGTATTTTACTTTTCACAAACATGAAACCTCACGAATTGTGAAAACTATCAAATGCTATTATTTTCATATTAATTATTAGTCCGTATTATATTTATGTGATAGGTGATTGTCTACCTCAGAGTCGATATTGATAAATGATTAGAAAAGTGCTATTAATTTAACAATGTAACGTCAAGTCATTTCATATGATTAATTGGTACTAATAAAAACTATAACAAATCACAAGGAAAACTTGTGTTATGAAGTCAAACATGAGAGGTTGTTTATGAAATTATCTCTAAAAGGATAATAACTCGAAATACCGTAAGTCTTATGTTTTTCTAAGAAAATAAAATTTAGAGACCTTTCTTTAGGTTTAAATTGATTCGCATGGGTACATGGGGATCTAGAAATTTGATTATTGATTTGCATGAACTTAACGTTATAGTAGAAACTCATAAACTTTAAGTTCAAAATTTGCCTATAATGATTTGGATATTTTCGTGGGGTACTGAGGAACTAATAATGGGCTTTAATTTTGTTCATACTTTGGTATTATAATTAGGGTAAATTACATAAATCCCATAGTTTTAATATGAAATTACAATGTATCCCTAATAAGTTTCTAATTACATTAATCCCTTAAAAATTAAAAAAATCGGATACAATAATTGAATCTCGGATACATTAATATGTAGCTCGGATACATTAATATGTAGCTCAGATATATTAATATGTAGCTCGGAAACATTAATAAGTAGCTCGGATATATTAAATACTGGTTCGGATACATTAAAAACTAGCTTGGATACATAATATGTACCTCGGATACATTAAATACTGGCTCGGATACATTAATATGCAGCTCAAATACATTAAAGAAATAAGGAATTTTGGAGATTTTTAAAATTAATAGGGGATAATGGAAATAAGTGAAACAAAATGCGTGTATTTCTGTAATTTGCGCTTATAATTAAAAGCAAGGTCTAAAATTGAAGGACTATTACATCTTGCCAATTAATTCTCAATGGTAGAGTTAGGAATTTTTTTTTTTTGGAACCCCAGGATAACCCGCAACCGCTACAATCTCTGCCACAGCCTCTGCCCTTCGGGTGAGCACTCTGTGGTGAGCACTTTGTGCGCACTGGGTACAGAGTTAGGATTTTGTATCTATGAGATCTTAATTAATTATTTATATGTTAATTAGATTTTTTAATGTAAATAAGTAGGCAATTTTTGAAAATTTTCTTTTATGTTATTTATATTATATGTTCTTTATAATAATATTTCGTTATAACGATAAAAAAATATCTGAACAAATGACATTTATTGATCGATTTTCATTTTTCCAACAATTCCAACACAATCTAGAAAATCAAGGGGTTTATTATAATTTCTTGCCTTTCATTTTAGAGTAGATTGTATTTTGAATTGGAGAGGGTGGGGATTGAGAAGTACTACCTTAGTCCCAAAGTATTATTAGTTACAGTTTTTTTTGTATATCAATATGATGAAAAAATTATATTTTTAATAATTTGTTGATTAAAATTTATATAATAATTTAAATTTTGAGAAACAAAAAGCAACATATAATATTAGGGATGGGGGAGTAGTTTTCAATAAGAAAATGTGATATAAGAAGAAACGTACATTATGAAAATATATTCATCACATAATATATTGTACAACAAAATATTATATGACCAACAATTCATATCATGCGTTTTATTCATACTATTGATACAATAATCTGGTCTAAAAGCAACAAGACTATTATATTACTGGTACTAATCTTGCCACTACGTACGTATACCATAGCTTTATAACAGTACACATCATGATTTGTTGTGAGGCAATTGGCTAGTCACTTAATCATGGCCTCCACCATGTGGGGGGTGATGTCCGCCGCCGCCACCACCACCTGGGGGGTGATATCCGTCACTGGGTGGTTTATATTCGTCATGTGGAGGGTTGTATCCGCCACCTGGAGGTTTATATCCACCATGCAGAGGCTTATATTCACCATGTGGGGGTTTATATCCACCACCTGGAGGCTTATATCCACCACTCGGAGGCTTATATCCGCCACTCGGAGGCTTATATCCGCCACCTGGAGGCTTATGTCCGCCACCAGGAGGTTTATATCCATAGTTGTATTCGTCATGTGGGGGTTTATATCCGTTATATCCGCTACGTCCGTCAGTGTGTTCATCATTCTTGTTATCTGATTCCAATGCTACATCAATCGTAAAACTCAAAAATTATCATAACGTTACATATAGGTAAAATATTTAGATAAGAAATTCATCATATATATAAATAATAAAATTAGAAAAATAATCTTACAAGTCTCCGCTAACTCCCTAGCTACAACCTCAGAGCTTATCATTGCAAAAATAGCTACAAAAAGGCAAAGAAATATAAATGCCTTGGAACCCATCATTTTTTTCTTCTTTAAAGCTTACTTATATTAATTAAAGGATGAAGAAATTGATGCATAATTGAGATCTATTTATAATAAGAAATGAATGTATTAGAGATTGAAGGAAAGGGCATATTTGGAAATATTCGGTGACACGTAAGTGGTATATTTTTTAAAAATTAGTAATTAAAGATGTGGACAAGTAATTTTTCTTTTGGTAGGTGAAGAAATTCTTGAATTCACAATTGATTTTCAAGAAAAAATCAGTAAAAGTCATCCTAATCAAGATTATGTTGGAAGAAAATTCTTCACATAAATCCAAAGGAAATAAAGAACCTTGAAAGTTGAATCAATAAGAGGTCGTTTAATTTATGGGATAAGAGATAATAATGATTTTCGAAATATAATATTACTTGATTTTTTAATTTTGAGATAGGATTAGCTAGACGGTATATCACAATTATGATATTATTTTTATATGACCTTCTATGCTGGATAACAATGATTACTAATCCCGAGATAAAATTACCAAAATGATCAAGATAGAGTAATCATGCAAGTAGTATATATCTTACTACTAGACGTTTTTGCTTCTTCTAGAAATTAGTATATATAGAGTAACAAGAAAAATTATGTGAAGTTGAAGTGAAGTTATTGGTAGTGAGCAAAAGAAAAACTATCAATGTATATAGAACGTATATCATTATCGGGAGCTAAAGGAAAATTAATTTGATAGTATAATGTAAATACGTAATTTTTGACCCTTTTCAATTTTTTCACCGTTTTAGTCATTTAAAATGGTTATTGAGTACGGATATGTGATCGTGATAATTGTGTAAAAATCACTCTTCTCATGTAAACAAGAAAGATATGAAAAGGAGTTGAAGCCCTTATGAATCGAAGAGACTAGACTAAAATTTAAATGATAAATGGATGGACTAGATCGAATTTGAACAAATTAACATAGGCTTTATTAACAAATGCCCTCGTAACTTAATATATACTTATTGTGTTTATAAAGTGGTTCGTGAAAAATATATTTAATGGATTTTATTGATGAATATTTATCGATTAGTGTAAAATAGACATACTACATATCTACAATACAAAACATGTGACTAAATTTATGCATAACGTTCATTCATTAATACCTACGGTTAAAATAAATTCAAACTTTTCATAACGTTTGTAGATTAATTTGTGTGTAAATAAAGTAGATAATGTTGTTATTAGCTTTTTAATATTAGGCAAGTAAAGAATTCATTTTTTTTCTCCACATAATTGACACTTCACAAAGAAAAAAATCATTTAGAGAGGAAATCGAAGATGTCCTGCAACAGCTTCTAACTTCTAAGAACCACAATTTGATTATTGACTAGTATGGAGGTTATACAGTCGTGTACATACGTAGATAAAAAGGTGATCAATTAAACATTTTTTATCGAAAAATTATATTGTATATATAGAAAATTATGTTATGCTTATAAGTTTTAATTCTCGAGAAATAAAAAGCATCACCAAAAGGAGAGTAATATTACATATGAGTTGAATTCTAATACTTCCTCCGTCCCATTTTATGTGGCACCCTTTTCTTTTTAATTCGTTCCAAAAAAAAATGTCACCCGATTCTAATTAGAAACAACTTAACTTTAAAATTCCTCTTTTACCCTTAATGAAATGAATCTCCACCACATAAATATCCAAAAATATTTTAGACTGTAATTTTCAAAAGTCTTTTTTTTTATTAAACATCGTATCAAATCAAATAGTCAGTGGCGGAGCCAGAAATTTCATCAAGGGTGTTCAATTTTTTTTTAATAAGTGAGTTAAATGTTATTTATTTAACCTAGTAATTCTACCATGAACGATCTAAACATTTGTCAGTATCAAATATAAACAATCGAGTTTTTCTTCTTCTTTTTGATGCATTGACTTTATATGATAAAAATATATGATTATTGTTTTTAAAGTGAAATATTGATAGAACAAATACATCTAGCTTTACGAAATATAAATCACACCAGTAGAAATTTTTTTCTTAAAAAAAAGAAGAAGATAAAATGCATGTATTGATTTTAGCTCTGGGTTTAAAGTTGTTAACATATATAAACACAATTTTTTTTAACGTAAAATGTTGCCTTTTTTGTTTTAACCATTCGAAAGTACATTATATCCTAGATAAAAATTAGAAATACGTGATTTTTAATATTCAAAATTAAAATAATTTATTCATATATGTTACTCTATATTATTAAAATTTTAATATTAATAATTAAGAAATTTGAGGAACATGATAATGGTGTGTGAGGTTGTGTTCTCTATCAAAATAAAATTAAAACGGTTGTGTGCTCCGTGAGATTCGAACCTGCGCACAAAGGGTGGAAATGAACAAACTTTACCACTGTGCCACGGAAGAGTTTATCTTAAGGTTGTTCAACATTAATTATTTATCCCTTAAATACAGAATTTGACCTCTCTATATCGTTTAATTTTCCGGCGAAGGGTGGTCAGCTGACCACCCTTCGATGGCTGTAGCTCCACCCCTGCAAATAGTGTCATATAAAATAAAACGGAAGAAGTAGATTATATAAAAGAAAAAAAATAAGAATTTTGGTTGTTGTGTTGTCGGTCATTTAATTTCCTAGAAGACTTTTCTCACAACTTTTTTTAATTTAAAAAAAAAAACGACTTTTCTTGAGTTATAAAGCAAATGAAGAGAGTTAGCCCCCCGCTTATTTAATTTTTTTTATTCGATATTCGATATTTATATTAAAATCTGATTATTTTAAATTTTATTTCATAGAAACTTTATTCAAGAAGGGAGATCTTTCTATCAATTATTTTTCCATATTCAAAATTCATACTCAAGACTTCTGATTAAAAAAAAAAACAACTTCATTCGATACATCTCCTTTGGGACCCTCTTATTTAACTTGATAGTACACTAAAAGAGTCATTGAATACGTCATTTAAGTCTTTGAGTATTGACCAGATCGAAGAGTACGTATATTTGCACCACTATTTCTAGATATTTGAGGATAAGGTAGTCCTACAACTTAAAAAAAATGGAGGATGGAAAGGGATAAATATGAGAGATGTTATGGAAATCAAATTCAAATTAACAAAATAAAAATTCAGATAGTTAAATGATTGAGCTATTAGAATCTTCGTAATATGATTAATTCACATAGTGAATATATTCTGCTATTATTATTTTATCCCATAAGTTCTTGTCATCTATCCTAATTACCCTTTGTGTTTAGATGTCTTAATTATTTGAAATATTATACGCTCTTCATTATCATGTTACGTAGAAAGTTGGAAATCAAGAAATTGTCAAATTCTTTTCATTTTTGAAATGAATTAAAAAAAAATAAGTTAAATAAATTAAAACGAACCTATAATTAATTACGTGGCGTGGCGGCTGAATAACTGATAAGTGACCGTTTGACATTTTCTACATACGTTAAATGATGGGCCATCAACTCCATGCACGTGGTCTAGATTTGTCTGATTGATGTATGGATTTTAAGAGAAAGAAATTTATTTATTTATAAATTTATAATTTAATATAACTTGAGAATTTTTTGTAACTATAAATCATTTTTTAATTAATGTAAAAGTGCCTAAAAATAATTACTCAATTATGGGTGTAGTTAGTTTTCAAGATATTTCATTTTTTCAATTAGTTTTCATGTTTTTCTTTTCAAAAATTAAATATGATAATTATTTTGATTAATATTTTAAAATCATATTGACATGAGAAAAACTTGTGACTTGTAGAGTTTTTTTGTATAATTTTTATGATGTTAATTTATACAATTTAGTTTTGAGTTAAATTGACTTTTTATAAACGAATCATAATAACTAATTTGTGACAGAGAGATGGCTAATTTTCCATTTAAATCTTTTTTAGTTTTGTTTTCAACCGCCCTATTCTTCCATTTTGTTTTCTTTTTTTTGTCTACTATAAACTCCTTCATTATTCGACAATTATACCTTATAAATGGAGATTTTTAGGCAATGCTTAGTGTATAAACTGTTTATTCTAATATTTATTGAAATATTTTGATGCAGTATGTTAACGATTATTACAAGATTAAGAACAACAATAGCTCATGTTGTATTTTAGGGGAAAAAAATCTATTATTTATTAGTTTTAAGTAAAAATTTGACTTTCATAAGTAAAAAGAACATGCATAGTGAGGTTTTTATTTTAACATTTTTGATATAGTATTAACGTATGTACTTTTGTCTTTCTACTTTTACTAAAAATGGTGTTTTGATATTTTTTAACTCTTAATTTAATTATTTTGAATATTTAAGATTTGTAAAATACAAACAGATAAAATTTATAAATATTATGTTTTTTTTCATCTTAACAAAAATCAAATAATATGAAGTATAGAAAATACTTATGACTCCACCATAAAATCAACACTCTATTTATGTACCACTTGTAGAGCAAGTTGTTCATTTCTTTGGTCCATACAATAATTGCAATCCGTACGTGTCCCCTCACACCTTCAATTTATGCATTCAAAATCTTATTATAAATACAGCCCAAAAATGCATTAGTTTCTTCATCCCTCAATTTTCATATTTCATAAGTACTAAGCTTTGAAACAAAAATAAAAGAATTAAGAAGAATGGGTTCCAAGGCAATTATGTTTCTTGGTCTTTTTTTGGCTATTTTCTTAATGATAAGCTCTGAGGTTGCAGCTAGGGAGTTGGCAGCTGAGACTTCCAATGGTAAGCATTTCTTTTCATTTGTTCCCTCTCTTAGGGTATGTTCGATAAAAAAAAATATTTTTCATGAAAAATATTTTGTAAGAAAATATAAGTGACTTCTTTATTTACTTTTTTGTGTTCAATATCGTGATATAATCTAGACAGATATATAATTGGTGGGGTTGGATGGTGACGGTGGGATGAAGATGGGGCGAAGATAAATATGTTTGATCATAAAATTTGTCTACTTTTTGAAAATTATTTGAAACAAAATCCCAAAATTTCAATCACTAATGCTGTAGTTTGATCATGACACTTAATATATATTCTTTTTGTTTCATGTTATACGTCTCAATTACTATGCATAAAGTATAAGAATATACCATAAACTTCCCAAACTTTGCTAAACTAAACTAAAGGTATGTAAATTATATTATAAATGCCCTATGAGTTTTGTGATCTTATGTTACATTGAAATTAAAAAAATTACAATTAAATATATATAGGAAGAGGAGTACTCATTTTGAAATATAATAAAAAGGAAAGTACGACATATAAATTGAAGTGCAATTCAAAGACTAGTAATGACTCATCGTACGTGTTAGCTAGTTTAATTAATCTTCACAATTCATCGATGCAGCGGTAAACGTTGATGGACATTATTATGGAGGCGGCTATGGTAAGGGCCATGGAAAACCTAAGAAATGTTATAGTTGCTGCAAGAAATACAAATATGGATGCAAAAAATACTGCTGCTCTTATGAAGAATATGTGGCTGCCCAGACTCACAACTAAATAATTAATTATTATTGTAAACTTTTGAAATTAAGTGACAAGATACTAATAATCTTGCTACTTAAGACCCTTTGCTTGTAACAAGTATGAATAAAGCCATTCATTTACAATGAATGGTTGGTCATGATGTAATGTTTTGTTGTACAATATATCATATTGTGTTAAAAATGTTTCCCTAATGTTAAGATTTTCTTCTTATTTTTACTTAAGTATTCTATCATCCCTTAATCATATGTTTCAAGATTGAATCCTGGTCCGAATATAGAATTGTCTTTGTTACATAGTATTTTACTCTATTTGAATTTTTTACCGTGAATCCAATTTATTTAAGGCATCTCTAATTAAGGATATTGAACATTGAGGGGAAATTTTAAAATATTTAATTTTCTTGTTATTTAATAAAGTAAGGAAAACAATGCAGAAAAAAAGAAACAATTTGTTCTTTTCTTTGTATAATATTTAAAAAAATATAATCACAGAAGAAATAAAATTAAAGCATGGGGGACAAACGACTAATAATGTCAAATCATCACTTATTTTTTTATTTCTAATGAACACTTTAGTCAGGGCTGAAATCGAAATTTTATGAAAACATCACAACATATAAACAAAAATGAACACATGAGTAAATTTTAATGATTCAATATATGATACAATGTAGTAGCTTTTTTCGACGAAGGAGAGTCAATTAACAATATTAGATAAGGATGGTTACATCATTAATATTCACGATCACCATTAAGGGCGTATTTACCTTAAGCTCGCAATATATATATGCAACGTCAACCAAATAACTCACATTAGGGGTGTACAAAAATGAACCGAAAACCGAATTAAACCGCAAATCGAGAAAAAAAAATCCGACTAGTGGTTGGTTTGACTTGGTTTGGTATTGAAAAAAAAACCCAACTATATTTGGGTTGGTTTGGTTTTAACTAAAAAAAACCAACCCGAGACCAAACCAACACGTCATTATATATATAATTTTAAAATTTATTTTATATTTTATACATAAAAATATTTACTTTGAAATAATTTTTAAATCTTTCTTATACTTTTTCATAGTTTTTATCTTTTAATATATTATT